GAATAGTACATATTATTTAATTAAATACAAAATAATGTTCCCATTTTAAGTAAACCAGGCCATATAAACCGATGGTGCCAAAATAATGAAGCTTTCCTAGAATATAATTAATGTGAGGTGGATTATAAAAGCCAAAGGGCTTGCATAACAAACACTTCCAATATAATTGTACTTTTGTCTATTAACTTTCAAAGGGAAATATCAATAGCTGTTTATATGATAGGGATAGGGCATAACTTGAGTTAATATAGAGAATATTTCCAGTTAATCGCATAAAAATGCTAAAAATGATGTCGAAATTATTGAGAAATTTGTTTTAAGGATTCTGGTACAACTCAGGTTGCTTAGTGTCTTTGATAATTGATGCACTTTATTTATTCAATGAAGTGAAGAGAAGATTTGATTGTGCAGTTTGTTCATATAAAAAAGATCATTGATCTCAGGGCAGGTCGCACTTAAAAGATGGGCCTTCTAAGGCAGATCTTATCTTCTTTCTCAAACTGTAAAGCGCCCACATTCCAACTCTGGAAATGATCATGCATACTATGGACTCCGGACAAGGTATGTCCGTTATGGTTTTTCTGTCAGTATTACGAAGTTGTGAAAACAAGGTCAAACAACTTCTATACAACGAAAGGAGACCCCGACCATACAAAAATCCACACCATCCTGGTCTTCATACCTTTGACAAATACTGATATTGTCGAAATATGCTTGCACAGGAAATATACAATAGATTGGTAGAGCGGACATAAACTTCCAGAAATTTGTGTTAAAAAGAACATAACAAACTTTTCGTTCATTTTGGAAAAATCCATAATTCATACAATAAGCTATCCTCCAGAGTGTATTCACCTTCTGAATGAATTGCATTTGCGAAATGGCTTTGGTCAACTTAGCTGGCTCAGTAATGCCTCAGCTCTGGACATTAATATATCGGGGCCTATTCATGGCAGAAAAGATACCACTCTATTCTCAGTCGTAGTGAAAAAATAAAGATGAGCTTGACCCTCAACTTGTTGTTTTTATTGTCAGTGTTATAATGCACCTTATTCAGCTCTGTGTTAAAAGAGGGTAGTGACAGAATATTAAGTTATATATAAAGTGCTAATAATATAAATCTTATCAGATTTAGCGCACTTGCAGTAATATAAAGACTAATACTTGATTTCCCTTCGATGGATTGGTTATTAAGGCCTCAGCAAAATACAGAATTTGACAAAATCTTAGCTCCTAAAAGGAATTCTTATCCTGTGCAAATTGCAATCTCAACCTTGGCTCATCACCTCGTTTGCACCTCCAAGGGATTAGAAACCTGTTGGCGTTATTCTTGCGGCAGTCTTACTAGTCATCCGCAAAGTCATGGATATTATTGCGTCGTCGGAAAGATTTATATTTCATTGAAATCTAAACCGCTGCTAAGCAACACTTTGTAGTATGAGGCAAACTCGTATTTACTAATAAATCTGATGATACTACTCTGTATCAATTAAGTAGGATATATTGAAAAAAAGCTGAAGTCGCATACTATAGTGTAGTGAAAGTCGGAGGGGCCAGACAAGAATCTATATGCTTCCAGTTGCATAGCCTGAAGTCAGAATAAGGTAGTGAAAAGGCTGGCAATATATTAAGTGTCGTATGATCAGTCAACCTTGGGAAATGATCGATACAAAAATAAAAAATTCCGGCTGATGGTACTTGCTAATAAAAAAAAGGTCAAAAAGGAAATAGCCTCGTAAAGAAGACATAGAGGCATTCTGGAAATGCTGTTAGGACCAAGATTCGGTCTAAATTTTAGTCCAGCCTGGTTGAAAAAGCCTTCTAGTAGATCAGACTATGCGAAATTTGATGATAATACGAAACTAAAGCACCCATATTTATAATGATTGTTTCGACCTCTACTCATTATGTATATAACAATATCGTCGATTTTTATTAAGATACGACACTTTGGAATAGTTTTTTGTTTGGATGCTAGCAAATATGCCAATGGTGAAATAAAGAGAAGGTTTGATGTTTCAATCAATGTCAAATTGCCTTGAATCTCAAAAATTGTCCTCGACCAGACTCGAGTATAGTTTAAAATTTGCGGCGACTTCAACAAGTCTCAGAGCAGGATTAGAACCATCGATATGTTGTTATTTACTTGGCAAGCATGTTAGCACTAACACATGCAAAACTTTTCTGAGATTGGCGTCAAAAGACAAATACGTATTTGCCCTAAAACCTAATATGTTACTGGGTGAAATCATTGTCAAAAGTATTTATTTTTCAAGGCCATCCGTGGGTTGATTTCTTTTGAGGTCGAGAAGGTTCGATTAGTTAGATGAAAAATGTACTGCAGCTCGTTAATATAAATTTTTTTAAAGAATGAGGGGAATTTAAATCGGCATTTTTTTGCGCCCATGTCGTATTTATCGCGTGGCTGATGGAGAAACCTGTTTACCCAATGACTCAAATAACCATTGTTCGGAAACTGCTAAGGATGCTGAGGAGAATAAACGAATTCAAAACTGCATTCCAATCTCGACGAGAATAGCCCTTTGGGATAAATGGCAAATAAAATTTCTTGCAACTGCCAAGTATTTTTATCAACTAGATTCAGAATAAATCCAATTAAAAATTGATTGGAACTGGGATACCTCGGCATAAATTAGCTTCCTAATATTAC